GAAAGGAAAGGAAAGGAAAGGAAAGAAACAGAACGGAGAAAAAGTGACCTTCGTGGGGATCGAACCCACACCTTCTGCTATCCGGGCAGATGTCCTAATCCAGTTAGACTAGAAGGACCAGCTCAATCTCCGTCTAGCGTCAGTGTGTATCATCACTGACGCTAACAAAAATATAAAAAATTAGAGAAATTACCTGGACATTTCAGAAATGACTAGGAAATTGAGGTAATTACAGATATTTCTTTCATTGCCACATATGATTATTCATTTCATTTTAAGGATAAAGTAAATTGTTCTTCTATTCAATCAATGATAATTTTAGGAGTGGGTATTGAATTCGAAAATAGCATGGAATTTATAATAAGTGGCGAAAATCAGCTATGAATATATGCACGTGTTCAATAGTAAATTAAAAATTGTTTTACCCGCTTCATATGCGTGAAATTATCAGCAGTACTCGAAATAATCGAGGAATATCAGGTTCTACGAATAATTCATAGTGAATAGGAATGTTCGTTATTCTGTGATCTATAGATATTCTAGAAACTTTTTGTAGGCTTTAGCCAAAATCAGATGGTGTTGTGATTGTAGAGAAAAGAATTTCTAAAATGAATGTGACAGTTGAGAAATGAGTATGAAAGTTAGTGGAATACGAGTTTTCGTTTGTTTCGTATTGAATGACTTTGTGAAACTTTTGGTGGCTAATGTGTTTGTGATAGTGTCATGTTATGAGAAATTCATGGATTTCTGAGTTATTTGTAAATCAGATAGACTTTCACTTCAAAGTATGCATTCATGGAATTATCGGTGGAAAGCTGTCAATGTGTTTTCATTATATGAGAGGATCTGATGTTTACGGGGCCTCTAATGTATTTAAGCTTGCCATAATATTGTTAGTAAATCTTAACATGTTTCATTCAGTTGATATATTACTCAAAAAAGATTGTATGGTGATGTGAAAGGATTCGCATAATCCGGTTAAGATGGTACGCTTTTTAACATATAGGCAGACGTTGAATTTTCTGAAACAGTCGAATGTACCGGTATGTTTCGTTGGATGCTGAAATAAGTACTTTTTTTTTCATCGACAGGTAGAATTTATTTAAGAAGACGAATATATTATCGTCATCGAACAGTGTACTATGCAAGATTCCTGGATGGATGAGCGAAAAAGAAGAAAATTTCGCAATTTCCAAAATTGATTGATAATTTCTAAAATTGCCACTCATTCAATGGGAGGCGCTTCTGTTTATCATCAAAAAGATATGAATAATCATATTTGATAAAAAAAGAAATTCCAGCAATTATTGAAAATTTCTAGTAATTTCCTAAAGTCTGCAATCATGGAGGGAAATTTACTTTTTCAGAAGTCTAAACACTACTAATGGTTTTAACATATTTTTTTTCCTTTTACAAAAAGAAATCTTGTCCAGGTAAATGTTTCGTTATCAAGAAACAGTATTTGGGGATTGAGTAACTTTCACACTTGTCAACTGATGATACTTAATCATATACAACGAGAAGATGCGTAAGCAATTCAAATTGAATCGCAACCAAGACAAATGTACTCACATGTTAGATGCAATATATGTTATTGTGTGTATGAAATTGATTCTAACAGATTTTATCTTTATTTAAATCAGCAAGTCTTGTAATCTCTTATTTTTTCTTGTTTTTTATAGAAACAATAGATCTATATATATATGTCAGATGTTACAAAAGACTTGGAATATACCTACAGATAATATAATACAGTTGGAAAATACATATGTCATAACATAGAAGGAAAAACAACAGCCTTGGAATAAACCAAGAGACAACACTATGAAAAATACTCGGCAGAAAAAAAGAAAATAGAATGGTATACTATACACGATGCATATGTATAGAAAGAAAGAGAACGAGTATATATGAACAATACCTTTATAAAGTTTATTTTATCGCAAGTTTGATATGCTTGTCATTACATCACCGTTCTATTTTCAATAGTTGAGATAGGTAACAAAAAAAAAATTATGTTTAATTGCTGTTGAAATTCAAGAAAAGTAATCTTCTCAAAAGAAATTTTTTCGTGCCAAATAGATTTCTTTTGTTAACCGTGACGAGCAACTATTCTTAAAGTAATAATAAATGAAACATTCATCACAAAGAAATTGACTTTGTTGAGATATTTATGTGATGAAATACATCATATCAATATTCGCAAGTACGATAAATCTTCATCGGAATTTTGGTTTTTCCTTAATAGTGAGTTATCAAAAATAAAATCTTATGAAAATCTTTCGTCATTAACGTTTGATAAAATTCAAATTTGTAACTATCTCTTCGATTTAGGAAGATTTGACAACAATGTTTCAAAACAAAAGCGGTTGTTTTTTATGAAATATTGATACATTTGAGTTATTTTACTCTTAAAATATATTTTGACGCAGAAAATATTGTATCCAGAATACGCTTGGACATAAATGCATATATAAATGTATTATTATATTCAATAAAATTAACATAATGGTGAAGCGCGTTCCAATGTCATCAATAAAAAATAGATCATCTGCTTTGGAAGATAGTCATCATATGAAAATATTTTCTTTAAAATTTCATAGACTTATGCAACAACTAGAATTCAAATAACATCATTATCATTTGCTTGGCACCAACTTCTATCCATTTACTCAAAAGAAAAAATTAGGTTCCACCGTCTATGTACAGACTCGAACGTACAATTCCTCATCATGGAATAGTGCAGCATCTACAATATGTGCATAAGTAATGATATTGAAGATCAAATCGAGTTCACTATGATCTTTGCCAGGAATGTTAGTCGGTTATTTCCCTTTAGAATCAATGCATTAATCTACTTTGAAATGCATTTACGATCAAGCATGTCACGACCTGATAAGTAGTGATACACTAAATATTTCACTTCATTATCCTGTACTGGTTGTGAATCGTACACATTCTCATCCGATTAACACGACAACACTACTGGATTGTCGCTGAACTTTTTGTTGAACAATGATCTACAAATCTTTCTTTCGAGGCCTATTTCAATGTTTTTCAACCGATCACATGTTCATATGTGTTCTCCAAACGTTTTTGACGTTGTCTACGTCTTAAATACGCTTCTTTGCGTCTATGGAGCTCTCAGAATTGTGAATCATATATTGTTGCTATAACTGATGCCGCACAAACGGAACTCGATACACTCAGCGCTGGTGAGATCATTACTAAGCGATTCAAAACACATCATCTTCATATTAAAACACTCCACAAAGGCACAGACAACGCGGGTAATTTCTCATCACACGCTACACCCGAAGTCGAGAAGGTGATCTGCGAACGAGTGAGTTGTTTTCTGAATTATTTAGCTTTAATTGTATCGTACTCCATAGCTTGGCATTGAATTATTGACGCGCGATTACAGTGAGGTTCAAAAGGGTAAAGATATTTGTGATCGGGTATGTGGGGTGGCCAAAGCTTGAATGCGGTCATGGGTAGCGACTGGCAACGACTTATTAAACGCAATCGATATCAAGGAAGGCATGGAGTACGCTGGTAGTATCAAGGATACCAAAGTCGCGGTGATTGAGATCTTTCCTGGTCAAGGTACACATCTCTAGATGGAAGAAAAATTCCACATCCTCATTATGTTTTATAGGTCATGTGGGTAAAACAAACGTTCCAAATGTTTCTACACTTCGCTCCATACGCTATGGTCCGGACCATCTGAATGTATTCAAGGCATCAGGCATCGGTACTGGCCTTACGATTTCTTACAAACATCTCGACTTTGAATCGAATTTGAGAATTGTCAGCCATTTCGGGGGCTTAAGGGTGTGGGTGTGGGTGTGGATGTGTGGGTGAGTTTTTGGGTGGATGCATTAAGAGAAGACCCAGACCCACACACACCCACACTCTAGTCGAACAAAATGCGTTACCATGATCTCTCTAGTGGTTCTATATTTTTTCATCTAGAAAAAAGTATCAGATGACGAAGAAATGAGGAGAGAAAATAGATTTTTTCTTCTTCACTTCCTAACATCTCAGTGAAAGAAAAATTATGAAAACTCAAATCTAGCATAACATTTGATCCACTATCAAGTATCTATTCCTCCTGTAAATGGGAAACTTTTTCATTTAGTTATTCTCGAGAAATCTGAGGAAAGAAGCCATTAGTATGTATACAGTGCGATCGTTGTTGTTTTCTTGGAATCTTTGTTCAACAAATCGTAGAATTCGATGTATACAAATTCACTTTTAATAGATTGTCTGACGGGCGATGAAATTATTCAACTAGCTAGGATGAATCAAACAAAGACTGGGTGAGCTTCGATCAGGTGACATCGTATTGGCCATGAATCAGGCAGGTGAGATGGTTGAATCAGAAATCTTCATTATTTCGCACAGCTCGGCAACAGTCCATAGTGAGTAGAACAAACATTATTATCCATTAACACCAGATACTGTATGTTTTCAGCACTGTTCACAGTGATTTGGACTGAGCATGACGACAAACTGGTCTTGCGCCTCGTCATATAATTCCAATCGTGGGAAAAAGGACCAAAAACATGAGTTTATTTTTTCTACGAATGTCAAACCCAATGATCGTTTATACGTACGATCAGCAGTGCAGAACGAAATCATTATGGTCAAAGTTAATAGTGTTACTATCGAAGTCAAACAAGGCTACTATTCACCCATTACATACGATGGTTAGAAAACTATTGTAATTTGTCATTAAATACTTAATTACTATATTTTGTTTCAGGAACTATT